GTTTAGTGGAAAGAAAGTTAAAGAACACCACGAACACAGAGCGGGAACCCCACCCGCTAAGTCGCACACGCATGCGTGTACCCCAAACCCACCATGTACCCTTAGTGCGCAGGCGCCCTCGAAGCGCAGGCGTTTGACGTCACTGAAAGCGCCAGAATGAGCGGTGAGAGGCGTCGCGTTGTGACGTGTGTTAGCCATGGAGGCGCTAGCTGGTGAGGAGCTCATAGGGCAATGGGGGAAACTGAGGCTGGGTCGGCGCAGTAGTCCCCGTGGTCCGAGCGTGGCGTGTGGAGGACGCGACTCGGCCCGTTTCGGCTCTGATACCCAGACTGACAGCCGCGAGGGAGAATCCGTTTGGCCCTCGCCCAGCGGGGCTAGACACGTTTAAAATAGCCAGAGCAGGGAGGGGGTGAGGGGTGGTGGTGGGGTCGTCGTTCAGCGTCTAGCACCCGCGCAGCGCGTTCACGGCTCCGCTGTGAACGAGGGAACATATGCACCAAGCAGCGAATGTCTGGAAAGCATCTACTTGCCAGTCAGTGGGGTCTCCCCTTGCAAACGCTGTGATGCCACGAAATTTACAAAGGACAAAAGTAGGAGGCTGGAGAGAGAGCTCTGTGGTTAAGAGCGCTTATTGTTCTTGCAGAGGACTGGAGTTAAGTCCCAGCAAGCATATACGATAGCTCATAACTTCAGTTCCAAGGGAAGGGACCCTGGCCTCCGCTGGCACCTGCATGCCCTCCCCACCCACCGCAGACAAATGTCCTTTCTACACAGTAGTCTTGTGAGGTTTAACAATTTAACATTTGTAAGGTTTGACAACTTAAAAGGACAGGTTGGGGGTGTGGTCCGGTGATAGTGTGCATGCTTAACACACTTAAAGCCCTGAATTTGACCTACTGCGCTCCCACATAGTTGAAAAGACTACATTCCAGCCAAACCTGGTGGTGCACATTTGTAACCCTTGCTACTTGGGAGGCTGAAGCAAGAGCAACAGAGTGACACCCTGCCTCAAAAAGGTGTGTGGCTCATCAGAAGAGTGCTTGCCTAGAATGCTGGAGCCCCTAGTGCTGCAGAGAAAATGCAGATGACTCCACAGCTATGTTTTACAGTATGTTCCCATTTCCTAGCAGAAATGGAGACTGAATAGGAGCTCTTCTCTCCACTGGTGAGGGGCCTTGAAGGAAAACTAATATTTCCATTGCTCTGAAGAGAGACTTGGCACCTTAAGCTTGTCTGGTATGGACACAAACTCCTGTGCAGATGTTGTCACAAGAGCAGGTATACAAGTGGCCCCATGCACTGTAGGATTGCTTTTTATCAGTAAGTCACAGTCCTCTGTTGTCATAGGTGTCTCCAAGCAAGGCATCCGTGAACGAATCTGGGACTATATGGAATCGCATGATTTAGCTGACTTTCCCCGACCTGTTCATCACAGGATTCCCAACTTTAAGGTACAAAAGGGTTCCTGATGTTGTTAGAAGGGGATAAAGCTATCCCTGGGAGAGTCAAGTCAGTAACAACTGCTCCTCTGCTTTCTGGTAGGATTGATTTTAGAGGCACAGTGAACAGAGGCAGAATCCAGGAGGGCCTGGAGTGCTCTGTGTTTTGACACATACCCCTCCATTACCCAAAGGGGCACAGCCTCTCTGGGGGAGTGAAAGGGTTGCACTGTAGCTGCTACCAGTACTTTTCACAGAGCTGGCCTCCCTCATCCACTTATGGAGGGGCTTATGGAATCTGCTCAGAGGAAGCCCAGCCTTTAGTGCTCAGAGAAGCATCATGCGATGGAAGCCCCAGCCCTCAGTTTCCTAACTGTTCAAAATACTAGTCAACCCAAATGAATATTGCTGATAGTTTGCATGGAAAATAATTAGCCTGAAGTAGGCAATGTAAGCCGGATGCTGCTCAAGCTGGCCATCTGGGCACTGGGAAGACAGGCAGTGAGTTGGAAGTCTGACTGAGCCACATGAAGCCCTGTCATAGAGAGATGAGGGCAGGAGGACATGCAGTGTAACGTTGTTTGTGGTCTTTGCTTTGTTCTTTTGAAGAGAACTGAGGTGCTTGTGAAGATAGACCAAGGCCCTGGTTGGCCTAGGACCTAGTGCCCACCAGCACCCCATGTTACCTGGACTTTGACCCTACACTGGCCTAGCTTTGGTTTTGGCTGAGCTGACTTGAGACTGCAGGGCCCCTGGAGACCGTTCCTCACTGTGGTCTCAGTTGTGTCTATGCTTTTGTGGGAGACAGATGGGCAAAGAGTGCAGAGAAGAGGGCACAGGGAACACAGGATGAGCCCATGGTCTCTGGAGTGGAGGAAGCAGGCAAAGAGGCCTCTGGGCACCCTGCTGCTTGAAGAGCTGGTGCTTACGTGAGCCCTGTTCTTCTTTGGAAATCCCCCAGGCTCTGCACTTGAGATTTGTGTTCTTTTTAGAGTCTTTTTCCCTTAAAAACTGAGTTCTGGGCCTGGAGACATGGCTCCATGGTGACGAGCACTGGCTGCTCTTCCAGAGGTCTTGAGTTCAGTTCCCAGCAACCGCATGGTGGCTCACAACCATCTATAGTGGGATCTGATGCCTTCTTTTGGCACTCATATACATAAAATAAGTAAATCTTTAAAAACAAACAAACAAACAAAAAACTAACCTGAGTTCTGGGCTAGTCCCTTTCCATCCTGTGCTCTTTCTGAGGTATCTTCTTGGGGAAATGTAGACTCCTGTATCTGGGTGGATGCTGGACTGTGATGCCTAGGCTATACTTGGCCCCTGTCCTCATGGTGACATGCAGTCACACTCACACAGGGTGCTTCTCGGGCTGCGGAGCATTTCCCACACCTGCATGCTTTCAGTGTGGCAAGAACCATTAAAGTCAACCCTGATGCTCCTCAGAGAAATGTCCGCTTCCTCGTGCTAGAGGTGAGTACATCACAGTCTTTGCCTAACTAGGGGTCTTACCTGGCTTGCCAAAGCATCAAAGACCTGGAAGTCTTTGCTGGGACACAGGAAGTGAAAGTGGACCCTGATAAGCCCCTGGAAGGTGTCCGGTTGCTCGCACTGCAGGTAACTCCATGTTCCCAAGCTGCCCTTCGTCATAAGGGCACAACCTATCATGCATTGGCTAGGTAAATTGTGCTGTGACTGCAATTTACAATAGCCTGTTTCTTCACTACAGTTTTACTGTTCTAATTCCTTGAAACAAATAAACAAAAAAACTACTCAGTTAGAAATCTGATACTGAAGGGACCGGCTCCCCATTTCGGCAGCCATAACAGCTGAACACATGCTTGTTTGACCTTGTCCTAGTCACTAGAAAGTCAGATCCCTGCCTCGTGGCAAGTAACCAATCAGAAGTTAGCTGGTGGCGCTATACTTTACGGCACTGGGTGTGCTTTACGGACAAGTGTACAGCAATGATGCATGGATTATAGCAACCACCCTGGGAGGGCCTATGGGCCATAACAACCAATTGGCCAATTAACACAGGGCAGGCCCTCCAAGCCTGGAGGCACACCAATCCTGAGCCTGTGCGTACCCCTAGACACTCCCCTTATGCTGCCCTACAAGATCTCTCTCCAGCCGGTTCAAGCTATCTTTTTCTAGCCATCCGCCATGGGGCTAGCTCGTTAAAAAAAAAAAAAAACAAAAAACAATAAAGCCTCATGCAGTTTGCATCAAGCTCTCGAATCTGCCTGATCTTTAGGGTGACCATGGTTGTGGCCTGGGACCCTGGATACCTGAGTTTTTCCGGGGGTCTAACAATACTTTATTAGGTGGTGGTGGTGCACACCTTTAATCAGCCTGGGACTGCCAGAGGCCATGGAATGACTCGATGGTCCCTCATTGCTGTCACATTACATGACAGAAGCCTCAGCTGTGTAGGGTGCCTTCCATATTGTGCAGTAAGGAAGGTCATAAGGCCTTCGGGCTGAGAAGAGCAGTGCCATGGAACTCCTTCTCTGCTTCTCTAAGCTCAAGGAGGCTTCCTGGAAGCACAGAAGTGTCTGCCTCACTTTCCAGGCAGTGAGATGATATTTAACTAGAGTGACACCCCATACAGCAGTGAGAATAGCAGGGAGCAGTGGGAGCCATTGGTGATGGGAGGGGACACTGGGGATGGACACTGTACTGTCACCAGCAGTCCACAAGTGGCCCTCAGGGGAACCAGGCTTGAGAGGGGAAGTAGCTCAGGTGTTCTTTAGTTGAGATTCCCTTTCTTCATGGGAAAAACATGCACTTGATGTGTAATTGATTGTCTTTTTCCTCAAAGAGCAAAAAGACACTGCTGGTCCCAACACCACGACTCAGGACAGGGCTGTTTAATAAGATCACACCACCTCCTGGAGCCACTAAAGACATACTGAGGAAATGTGCCACCTCCCAGGTGAGTGCTAGAAGCCCCCTCCCTGGAGGACCGTCCTCATGAGTCAGTGTACTGTAAAATAGAACACCATGGAGTTTACACAAAGCCCATACAATAGATATTTAAATAGATGCTTTGGCTGGTTAATGCTTGTTCAAGAGCTGGTAAGACCAGCATCAGGCACTCTTGTGCCCTCTTGTGGTAGATTTAGTGCTGTGCACCTGTGCTTGCTCCCACTTGTTTAGATGACACTGGAGGGCAGGATGCTCTGGAAAGTGCCTGCCTGTCGATTGTAACTGCTGTCAGGAGCAGTATTGAATATCATCAGAAACTTCACAGTCCAGCTAAACTGGAGTCTGTAGATTCATTGATGTGTTAGAGAACCGGGATTTGCATCTTACGTTAAATAACATTTGGTAGCTGCTTAAAGAGTCATAAACCCATGTCATTTTACTTAACCCTTTTAAAGGGATTTTACCTTGAATCTAATATGTGAAGGTTGAATGATTTTTTTATTTTCTGATAACTTTTCTTATGAAGAAATAGAATTGACTACAGCTTACAAAAATATGTACAGTATGCTATAAAAATAAAGTACGTATATGTAAAGGAGCAAGTTCAGGAGGGCTGGATTTGGTGAAATCAGCTACTGGGGAAGCTGGGGTGGGAGGATTGATGATCCAAACCTGCCTTGGCATTATAGCAAGATTACATTTCAGAATAAATATTAAAAGGAATTGGGGTGGGGTGGAATACAGTTCACTAGAGCCCTTCCTCTTCATGTATGAGGCCCCAGATTCCATCCTAGCACTGAAGAAAATGGAAAAAGAAAAAAAGATGAAAAGTAAGGTAAAGCCATGGTTATGGTCAATCCCAAGCCCCACAGCTCAGGTTTCTCAGACAGGGCAGTGGTCAGTCCCAAGACAGGGTGGTGGTCAGTCCTGGGCCCCTGCACAGGGTGCTCAGAGGCAGGGCAGTGATCAGTCTTGGGCCCCAACTCAGTCAGTGAAGAGCCTATTTCCACGGCCACTAGAGGGACGGCACAAAGCTCCAACAGGGTGGCGAATGCACTGTGATGTGTTTCAGGGAGACCAATCCTGGCTGTACACTGATCCCAGAAGAGACTTGCCAGGTCTCTGACCTGCTACACAGGTGCAGTCCCTTCACACCTTCTATCCAGGCCTCTGATCATCAGGATGAATGGGTGCACTTGGGGTACATACCCAGAAGCAAGAGTGCCCTGCATGAAGCTGTGGCCACATGGGATACTGACCATGTCTAGCTTAAGGTGTATAACCTCCCGTGCCCTCCTTTCTAATATTTGTCCTGGTGTCCCTGTGCTGAGGAACCTGAAGCTTCTGTGACTCAGTAGGGTCTGGCCTGGTTGTGTGTAGTTCCCACCTGATTCTACCCAAGGTGCTCTTTTGGCATTAGTGTTCTGTGACTTTTGTGGTTAGTTTCCTCTGGCCATCTTCCTGGGGTAGGAATTGTAGAAGACACACCCTCAAATTAAATTGTTCTGGAACTGGCTGTCCTAGGATACTGCCTCCTGTAGGGTAGTGTGGGAGTCACATCCACTCTGACTGCTCTGAGACCATGAGTTCGGCCTTCAATCTCCTTTTATAGGGTGTGCGGAACTTCAGCATCCCTTTGGGCTTGGATTCCAATGTTCTCGTGGATTTAATTGTGGTGGGATCTGTTGCTGTGTCTGAGAAAGGTAAGTAAGAGTCAGGGTGTCCTGGTGAAGGCTGCTCTGTGCACTCACCCTTTGTCAGTCATTCCCCTCTGTATGCCTGACCTCAGTTGCTGCCCTGGTCACTTATAGAGGCTTTGTCTTGTTTTAGTCAGACCAGAATCTCATGAGTGCCATAGAATAGTGAATGCAGTCTGGATAATCCTCACAGGCATTCACAGAGGCCTGTTTCCCTGGTGGTCCTAGGTTCTGTCAAGTTGACAGTTGGCACTAACAGTCACAGGAACCCCAGCACCTCTCTTCCTGTCCCCTGCACATGGTTGGGATTATACAACTTGAACCTTTAGTAGGCTGATAGTGATCCTTTAAAGACAGTGCTGTTGTGTGGCCCGCGCTGGCCTCAGAGTTAATCTTCCTCTCATAGGCTCCTGGTTCTTTCATGTTTCCCAGATTCCCACCTACCATGTATGTGTGCCACCATATAGGGCTTCCTGCCTGCCTTTTGACCTCCTCTCAGCTCACCCCAGCTATATAGCCTGTTCATTACTGTCTGCTGCCCTTCTGTCCCATTGTCTTTATCTCATTCCATCACATATGCATTTCTGTCAGAGGAGCTCAGGTAGGTCTGAATCTTAGAGAGGCATCTTGTGTGCTTCCTCTTGGGGTGATGCTGTGATGGTACCCAGACTCCAGAAGAGCCAGGTACACACTGAAAGCCAAAGGCCATTACTGCTTGCTGACTGCTATAGTCCTCTGTGCTTCTGCCTGCATGGGCCTGTGACCGTGCAGCCCTGCTAAGCCTGGCCTCCCCTTTGCATTTGGCTTCTCTTCCTAAGGCAGGCAGATCAAACACCTGGCCTTGGAAATAGAACCTTTTGTGGCATTTGGTTTTTTATTTCAGAACTTGACTTTAGCTCTCCGTCCCCTCACCTTAGCCTCTGAGTGCTGATTGCAGCTGTGCCTTAGAACCTGGCTGCTGTCACTGCTTTTCACTGTCTTGGTGACATGACTGGCACACAAGTGCAAGTTTGGTCACCCCATGTGGCATCTGAGGTTCATCTACTCACTGTGCACTGTCAGTGTTTGGTGCCCATGGATTCATGTTCCAGGGTCACTATGGGTTGCTGTGGACAACAGGAACACTGAGATGTCACCCTTTCCACCTAGACCTGATAGGAACCCACTTCTGCTGTATCCCTGCCTTGTCTCCTAGGCTGGCGAATTGGGAAGGGAGAAGGCTATGCGGATCTCGAATATGCCATGATGGTGTCTATGGGAGCTGTCCATGAGGGGACACCAGTTGTCACCATTGTCCATGACTGCCAGGTAAGCACTGCAGATGAGTCACTGGTGCCCTCTTGCTGCTCGAGGAGAGGGAGGGGTGAGAGAGACACTTCTTTGTAGCAGGCTTTCTCAGACCACCGACCCCCAGATCATGAGACAGAGACTGTTGTTAGTTATGAATGCTCAGCATTATCCTATGCTTGTCCCACTAGCTCTTATAACTTACTTTAACCTCTTTTTCTTCATCCACATTTTGCCTCAGGGCTTTTTACCTTTCTTTCATTCTGTATGTCCTATATTTCCTGCTTCTTCCATGTCTGTCTGGTTGTTGACTGGCTGGCCAGCCCCAGGCTTCTCCCTCTCTTTCTCCCTTGTTCTCTATTCTCTCTCCTCTGGAGCCTAGATTCCTCCTCCTCCTACTTATTCTCTCTGTCCACCAGCCCCACCGATCCTGCTACTGCCTAGGTATTAGCTATTCAGCTTCTTATTAGACTAATCAGGTGCCTTAGGCAGGCAAGGTAAAACAGCAACACATCTTTACATAGTTAAACAAATGCAGCATAAACAAATGTAACACATCTTTGCCTAGTTAAAGTAATATTCCACAACATAGACAAATCTAACATATTTGCATAGTTAAAGTAATATTCCACAACACCTATTCTTGCATCATGCTATGAAAGGTGTTGATTGATGAGGCACTGAGTCTCATGCACTGAAGATCATCTATCCAGTTGCTCAGTTCCTTCAGGGCCCTGCTGTAACCTGACTAAGTCAGTGCCTTACCCTGTCCAGGTTGTTGACATCCCTGAGGCTCTTCTGGAGGACCACGATCTCACTGTTGACTACATCATCACTCCCACCAGGGTCATTGCTACAGGCTGTGTGCGCCCAAAGCCAACAGGGATCATCTGGTCCAAGGTGGGTCATTACTGTGGCTGACATGGCCTACTGTAGTGGCTCTGATGTGTTCCTTGTATGGCCAGGCCACTGTCCACTGTCCCGTGTGGCTGGACTTAGCATTACTTGTGACTTTGAATGGTGTAGCTCTGAGTCACATCTTAAGGCTGAGACTTAGAATCTACCTAGAAAGCAGTGATGGAGGGTCACTGCATTGTGGCTCCTTTGCTAGTGTTTTTTTCAGTGTGTGTGTATGTGTATACATGAGTGCGCATTCGTGTTCATGTATGTGCATGTGTAGAGGCCAGAGGTCAACCTTGGGTGTCATTCCTCAGGGTGTGTGCTACCATGCCCTGAGGGTTTTTATTTTTACAGCCTTGTGATGCTGGGCAAGCACTCTGCTACAGAGCTACCTCCCAGTCCTTTGCTTATTTTTATTTTGGAGGCAGGGTTCACTGCCTATGCCTCTCAAGTAGCCAGGATTACAAGCCTATGCTGCCAGCCCCCATAGGGGATTGCAAACTTCTAGGTGATTAACACATGAAAATCAAATCTGAGTTATAATTTTTAGAGGATGGAATGATTAATTACAGAGCATAAAAATGTTTTCTGTTGATTTTAAAGTAGAAGAGATGGCTCAGTGGCTAAGAACACTAGTTGGTCTTCTAGAGGTCCTGAGTTCAATTCTCAGCTACCACATGGTGACTCACAACCATCTGTAATGAGATCTGGTGCCCTCTTCTGGCCTGCAGGCATACATGCAGACAGAACACTGTATATAATAAATAAATAAATCTTTTTTTAAAAAAGTGGAATTTTTAAAATTTTTTTTAAAGATTTTATTTATTTATTATGTATACAGCATTCTGCTTCCATGTATATCTGCACATCAGAAGAGGGCACCAGATCTCATAACGGATGGTTGTGAGCCACCATGTGGTTGCTGGGAATTTAACTCAGGACATCTGGAAGAACAGAACAGTCAGTGCTCTTAACCTCTGAGCCATCTCTCCAGCCCTTTTTTTTTTTTTTTAAGATGGTTTTTTTATTTTTAATTTTACACACTTGTGTTTGTGTGGGTATGTGTGCACCAATGCAGGTGTCTGTGGAGGCCAGAAGAGAGATCTGGATCTTCTGTGAGCTGCCTGGTGGGCGTGTTGGGGATTGAACCTAGGTCCTCTGGAAGAGCAGCCAGTGCTGCTAACTGCTGAGCCGTCTTCCCAGCCCAAAACGTAGAATTTTATTTCATGTGGCACATTGGCAAAACATAATGACCATTCCTAATTGCCAGCTAGGCAAAACAGAATCTCCCGTCAGCCTGGGCAGCGACATCAACCCCATTCTGCTAGCCCAAATGTAAGCAGCTGGGAAATGGCAGAGCCAATGTGGTTGGGACTTGTGGAGAAGTGAGCCAAGCCATGCCGGGTGTCATCACTCCCTACTCAAAACAGACTGTTCCAGAAAGGAGTGACGCCTGGCTCCATAGTAGCCTGAGCATCAGGAGATGCCATCATTGTGGCTCCTGTGCTGCTTGACTTCATAGGAAAGCAACCCTAGAGTCTGAGTGCTGATCTGAAGTGTGCACTATAGAAACCCTGCCTTGAGCCAGGCACAGTGATGCATACCTTAAATCCCAGCACTTGGGAGACAGAGGCAGGTGGATCTCAAGGAGTTCAAGGCCAGCCTGGTCTACAGATTGAGTTCCAGGGCAGGCTCCAAAGCCACACAGAGAAACCTTGTCTTTTTTTTTTTCTTTAAGATTTATTTATTATGTATACAGTGTTCTGCCTGCTTAGATGCCTGCCGGCCAGAAGAAGGCACCAGATCTTATTATAGATTGTTGTGAGCCACCATGTGGTTGCTGGAAATTGAACTTAGGACCTCTGGAAGATCAGCCAGTACTCTTAACCTCTGAGCCATCTCTCCAGCCCAAAACCCTGTCTTGAAAAACAAAACAAACAGACCCAGCAGCAACAACTACAAAAACAAAACAAAAAATAAACAAGAAACCCTGCCTTGGAGACATGGCTGTTCTCTCAGAAACTGCTTGTTTACCAGCTTTGTGCCACCAAAATTAAAGAAATAGTTGTCTTTGATGGATGAGAAGTGTCAGAATGGACTGGACAGGTCTCCTTCCTGGCCCAATGCAGGCTCTGCTATTCAGGCTGCTCTGTCAGCTCAGTCCTGGCAGCCCACTGGCAAACTGGCTGCTGATGGTCTGCATGCTTCCAGCTGTGTGTGTGCACACAGATCAGGCATCCAGCTCATCCTCCAAAGCACACTGTGCCCACATGGTGATCTTTCTTCCACTGTTGGGATGTTGGTGACCAACTATAGCAATTCAGTTGGACCTCAGGTGATCTGTGCAAAAGTCCTACAGGCTGACACTGAGCTCAACAAGCTGTTCATTTAGTAATTTGGTGGCCCACTGCTAGAGAGTGCTGCATGATTCATACTCAGTGTCAGACCTGTCTGGCTGTGTGTGGGGCCAGGTCTCAGTTTGACCCAAGAGATGATCCTGGGCAGGTGGCTGCCTCCACCCCAGCCACAGGCACCATAGGAGCCATCACTCTCCTGAAAGGAGCAGGGAATTGTCTTGTGGCCCATGTTATTACAACTAACTGCAGGGGCCTCTTCTGGGTAAATGGCCCACAGAGGAACCCCAGTTGTTTCCTCCAGGAAGATAAAAGACCCATTCCACCCTCACTGTGGCACATAAAGGGACAATCTGGGAAACTTCAGAGTGTCAGGATTTCATTTAGCCTGCCATGGGATCCAAGCTGCAGATTGGTGACTTTCTATTAAGGAATAGAATGCAGGCCTGGCCTGGTATTGCAGGCTTATCACCAGGCACTCTGGATGGCAAGTTTGATGCCAAGACAAGCCTGGGCAATATGATGAGGCTTTGTCTCAAAAAAAAAAAAAAAGAAATGGTGGGCTGTAGCCCAGTGGTAGAATGCTTGTGTAGCCTGTGTCCTGAGGCCCGTGCTTCACCGCCAGCATCACAGAAATGAGTAAAACTAAACATGTAGGGAGTCTTATCTCCCCTGAGACTGCCCTGGGCCCTTCAGCATCCTTTCATCCATAAGGTGTGATACATTGTCAGAATTCCTCCCAAGACCAACTGAGATCACTGTCTTTTTCAGGTCAGTTGTGAGATGCTTACGAAAATCCCAGTACTCAGGAACCTTCGTGAGCGAGAAAAGCGGGCCGGGAAGGATGTCACTCTTCAAGCTGAGACTGGCAGCCAGCACCTAGCTCCAAGCACTATCAGGAGACCTTGAGATATACCACAGTCACAAACAGGTTCCGTAGGAGGGGCCCATAGCCCCCTGCAGGGCGTGGACACCCACCTAGCTGCCACTGTGGCTGTGGGAAACCTGCCCTACAGTGCTCGTGTGAGTGAGCTGAAGAGAGCCCTCCAAGAGCTGGGGGCAGTGCCCCTTAGGCTCACCTGGCAGGAGCCACAGCACAGGGCCATTCTACACTATGTAGACTCAGCTGCTGCCCGGCAGGCTGCCTCTCTCCTTCAGGGCCTACACCTGGGTGCCAACACCTTGAGGGTGGCACTGGGGCATCAGAGGGATATATGACCTGGTGAGCAGCTCTCACCAGAAGAGCTGTGTCCTCTCCGTTGATGGGATGCCTCTGGCATGTGACAGTTTGCCATTGTTGGTGGCCTGCTGCTGTGCTCAGTTCTTCTGGGAAGAGGATAAACTTTCCTAATGGGTAGGAATGGCGCACATAACACATCATGACTCTTGGGATAATGTGTGCTCTGACTCATTCTGACCCATTCTAGTTCTTGTTCTGCTTGTGAAGTCCGTGTGATGCTTGTAATCATTGCAGACCCGCAGTCTCGCAGAACACAAGTGGGGATGGGATTCTGCATCCAGAGACAAACCCCACATTGTGGACATGTGTGATCATGTCTACCCAGTCTGCACAGGTATAAGTCATGGGGCTAAGGGCCTCACTGTACCTCAATGAGAGTGAGACGGGTGGCAGCTGCCTCTGCTTCCCCAGACATAGCATTTGTGCCATTGATCCTAGGCAAAGTCAAAATAAGCACTTAGGTGGAGAGTTTGTTTTATTCAAATGTGCATGCCTGAGAAGTTTCTTGTTTTTACCAATGGGTCTTCCACAGTGTCCATTAACATAGTCCTTTGCCCCAGAAGGGCAAGCCTTGTTCACATATTAAGGGAAAAAAAATCTTGTGATATATGTCTCCTTGCAGGGACCCAGCCTTAGAAAACTGTGCTAGCTCAGTAACCACCCCTTTCAAGTTGTCACAGGTACTATGGGAAGCAGGCCTCAAGCTGCGCTGGCCTCTGGCCCAGCACCTGCTGGTCTGGTCTTCCCTCCCATTCTTCCCCAGCACAGCTACTGGCCATCCCATCCTCTCCCTGCTGTTTTTCCAGTGTCCTCACCTGCCGGTGTGCCCCTTCCTACCCTTGATGCTCCCTGTGAGACAGCAGCTGCAGGTTAGCAGAATGGAGCTCTCTTTCCCTCTTGCTGCAGACCAGAAGGACTTGAGCAACCCAGGAAATCCTATGTTAGGGGAGCTGTCCATCAGTGCTGGAAAATGGAGAGATGGCTGTTATTCTAAAATGTTACTCTTTTGCTTAAATTAAAAATTCGAGAGAGATGGACATGGAACACGAACTATAGAGAGCACATTAACCAGTTTATTATAGGGTGGGAGATGGAGAGAGAGAGAGAAATGGAAGAACAGAGCAAGGCAGAGAGACAGAGAGAAGAGGGCGTAAGTGAAGAGAAGAGCAGAGCAGAAGAGAGAAGAGGGGAGAGGTGGGGGTAGGTAGAACTTTTAAAGGGAAAACCATGCATGCGCACTGAGGTTCCACACATGTGCAGAGTCCTCACACGGATCTGTAATGAGTGACAAGTGACACCGTGATGGCATAGCACATCCCTGTGCGTGCCCCGCCCGTCATCAGGGGGCGGGGTCAGCCTGGTGTTGGTCCTAACAATGACCCTTACCCAAAAATCAACCAAGCCTGACTCTAGTCAAATGATCACTCAGGTCACCCAGATGGTGTGGGCCTCTTGTCACTTGTGGCCAGAATAATCCAGATGTGTTGACACAGTCTGAGCCACTTGTGTATTTGTGTAAAGTGACATCAGCACTGAAGCCCAGGTGCTCTCAGTCTCAGTCCAGGTAAATGCTGCAGAGTGTACCCTGTCTCAGGATGCCCTCGAGGTCTAGTTCTTTGGGTGGCTGGTGAGCCACAGGTGACAAAGTCATTGCAATGATCGTGGCTGTGATTGTGTAGCACACAATAAAAAATGGACAGAACTCTTTTCAGGTGCTGAGTTGGCAAAGATGCTGTAAGTGATGCTTCAGGATTCTGGGCCCCTCCGTGTTATACACCCACATGGTATTTGGCTTCATCAATGGTGGAAACTTGGGTTGTTTCGAAGAAACTGGTCCTTCGGGCTGGATCTCACCCTGACTGTCTTAGGATTATTATTGGTGTGATGAAACACCATGATCAAAGCAGCTTATTTTGCTCAGAATTCAGTGTAACAGTTGATAATCAAAAGCAGTGAGGGTAGGAACTCAAGCATGGCAGGAACCTAGAGACAGGAGCTGATGCAGAGGCCATGGAGGGGTGCTACTTACCCACTTGCTCCCCACAGCTTGCTTAGCCTTCCTCCTTATAGAGCCCAGGACCACCACTCCAGGGATGATCCCACCTATGATGGTCTGGGCCCTACCACATTAGTCACTAAGAAAATGCTCTACAGGCTTGCCTTCAGCCTACTCTTCTGGAAGCATTTTCTCAATTGAGATTCCCTCCTGTCAGATGACTCTAGCGTGTGTCAAGTTGACATAAACTAGCCAGCACACTGGCCTCTTCCAGTGTGTGCTTGCCTTGCATCCTGGCTGTTCTCATGAGAACATAGCCTTATCCTCCTGCCATGAATGGGACTTATTTCTGAAGCTGAGCCAAACCCTTCTGGGCATCTTCACAGTGATGAGAAACTAGATAATTCAGGAACATGCAAACCAATGGCTTCCCCAGCCTCTGTTATAGCTGTCTTTTAGAAATGTAACAGCAGGGGCTAGAGAGATGCTCAGCTGTTAGGAGCCTTTCTGCTCTTCCAGAAGACCTGAGTTCAGCTCCCACCACCCATATCACAAAGCTTGTCTGACTTCCATGGGTAACACACACACACACACACACACACACACACACACACACACACACACACACACACACACACACACACACACACACACACACTCATAAGTAGTTGGGACTGTGGTTGATGAGCAGCTCAGGCTCCTTTGGTGAAATGAGTTTTACACCAAAAAGTGGTTACAGATCCACAGAGATGCCCCAGTTCCAGCATGTCCAGCAAGATCCTAGCAGAAGCTCCTCAGGGAACCAAGCAGCAAGCAAATACTTGGGAACTGTCACCAGCAAGAGCAGAGGACAGCAGAAGTTGACCTCTGGTCTCCTCCACTTGCATGTACACGTGAACATGGGAACAGAATGAAGTGGATTGGCAGAGGAACTACAAGGCAATGACCTTTTCATTGCTGGCTTCTAGGTGATACTAACCTTGGCTTGGAAATTAAGTTTGAGGTTACAAGGTTCAAAGTTCCAGGTGATGCTGGTGACATTCCCCCTGTCCTGCAGTCATGGTGAAGCCACACTTAATACAGAAGCCAGGATGCCCTGGGGGTGGGGGTATAGCATCAGTCATCATTTTGAGGAGTGAGATGGTGGCTTGAAGGATAGAATGCCAGAGAAGAGGTTGCTGAGCCTAGGGGTCACTTTAGGTGCCTTAGTTAGGGTTTCTGTCACTAATAAAACACCATGGCCAAAAGCAACTTGGGGAAGAAAGGGTTTATCTTATTTTACAATCCCGTATTATAATCTGTCATCAAAGGAAGTCAGGAGCTGACGCAGAAACCATGGAGGAGGGCTGCTCACTGGCTCACCCCTCAGCTTGCTAAGTCTGCTTTTAGAACCCAGAACTACCAATCTAGGGGCGGCACTGCCTACAGTGAGCTCCCTCACTCCTATAAGTTACCAACTAAAATGCACCAAAAACTTGCCTACAGGCCAATCTAGTGGAAACGTTTGTGAGGTTTCCCATTCCAAAATGACTCCAGTTTGTGCCAAGTTGATGTAAAGCTAGTCACATTAAGGGGAGTACATCTGCCCATCAGGCACCCATGACAAACACCCATAGTCTCTCCTATCACTCTGGATGGACAGACCCATGGAAACACATTTAAAGTCACAGGCCTGATGGTCTTCTGAGGCTTGAGATGAGATTTTCTGTCTTTGTAGAAGACTCGCCTCCTAGTCCTGGCCTTATGCTGCCCTCTGGGTCCCATCACCTGGCCTTGATTCCTCTGCATGGTCCTGGACACCTGGGCCTGATGTGACCTTCCTTAATCCTGGACACTTGGCCTGTATGTGATGCTGCCTCTGAGGTTCCTATTCTCATAGCCGCAGTTCCTGGCGGAGCTATGAAGGAAGCAGTGGTGCTTGTGCACCTTTATCTGGGCTCCTTGGCCAGCCCCCCAAATAGAACATAAAGCAAAGAGAACATCTGTTTATTGATTTATCATTTGTTTTGTGTTTTGTTTTGTTTTTTTTTGAGACAGGGTTTCTCCATATGGCCCTGGCTGCCCTGGAACTCACTCTGTAGACCATGCTAGCCTCAAACTCAGAGATCCACCTTCCTCTGTTTCTGATTCCAGATTGCTGTGGTTAAAGGCATGCAGCACTACTCCAGGCTGGTTTTGTTTTGTTTTTGAGACAGGGTTTCTCTGCACAGCACTGGCTAGCCTAGAACTAGATCTATAGACCAGGCTGACCTCAAACTCACAGTGATCGGCCTGCCTCTGTCTCCCACCTTACCCAGCTTCGAATTTTAAAATATCAGAGCCTTTCTGCAAAATAGATCTTTCATAGGACCCATCTATAGGGTGGCAACGTAGGCAACATCCAGCCTGTGGTCCTCAGCACTCTTTAGTGGGTACTGCCCCCTTCACTTTTTCTTTACACTCTGAACTACCTTTCCCTGCAGGTGGGGCAAAGAGGAGAGCCCTCTTCTGTTCTCCCAAGGAATTGAAGTGCCCAAAGAGCTTGGTGCATCTTCCCAGGAAGCTCTTCAACTCTCCACACCAGAAACCTTCCCCCAAATCCGGTTAAAATCATACCACTGTTGTCTTGTCATGTAGTGGTGATGCTGGACTGCCCTATGGAGAGGACCAGGCGGCACTGCCAGGACAATGTACCATTTTGGAAGGGATCCTGGGCCAGGGGAAAGAGCCCTCACAGGTGGCACTGAGGCAGCCCTGTAACCTCAGGGATGACTTACTGTTTTAAGCCACTAAACTTGGGGCAAGGGTTTGCTTCCCCGGTAACCAGCCATGCAGTTTCACTTACTGTCACAGATAGTGATAGGCACGTGTAAATTGTATCAAAGTAGAGATCAGTATTTCCTCTGAAGAACAGCAGTTCACAAGAGGACGGGATCTACTATAACCATCTTCATCTTCATTGCAGATGCAGGTTCCTCGGACAGGTGAGGCTCCAGGAGTGCAGCCAAGTTGCTCTTTACCCACAGTGAGCAGGCTCAAGCCAGGGCCATTTGGCAGGAGAGAAAATTATCCCTCCCCTGTGAGGTTACTTCAATCTTCCCACAGCAAAGGAAGCATGAACTTGGGTCTGTGGCGTGGGTGTCACCCACCGTACTGGGCCCATCCTGCATCCTTCAACCCTTTCACCTCTAGGGTGTGACCCCTACCTCTCTGGTGTTCCTTTGGGCAGCAATGCAGGTCCCAAGGACCCTGAAGCTTTTCCTAACCCCTCCATGCTGCCAAGCCCCAGAGAGTCTGGGTCACCCAAGGTTTTTCCTTAGACCTGCCACAGAGATGTTCAGACAAGCAGACTTAAGTGAGAAGCTGCACTCTTTCCCTCACAGAGTCAAGGCTTCCACCAGTGAATGGAGCCCTTTATTCTCCAGGGCCATCAATCAGGACAGTTGAAATGGGAGCTGACATGAGCCTGTGTGGTGTGGATGCTCCATACTTTGGTGGTTGGAATTGGTAAGAACCAGTCTTGAGGTGCTGAGCTGTGGGTAAATCCAGCATCGCTCCCACCTGCAGGTCAGACAAACCCACCAGTTGGAGCAGCTTTCCAGATGAGGCCAGAACTGGCTGGAGCCCTTAAGCCTGGCCCTGTGGAATGGAAAATGGCTGTTCCTGGGTGAACACTGACCTGCTCATCCCCTGACCACAAGCAGAACCTCCAGGCCAACTGGAAGCCACGGCAGCTTGTCAGAACACAGAGAACATTGAGTGGTTGAAGAATTCGGAGTCAGAATCACACACTGCCTTGGGGGGGGGGAGAGGGGCAGGATGTAATGTGTTCTAGCTGTGTGACCTCAGGCAGGGCTCACCCTCTCTGTGTCTGCAATTCCTTAGAGTTAGCTCTTTTGAGACTCGCAGCATACTTTTCATATCACCCACACATCACAGGAGGGAAGCAAAAGAAGTTAGGAAGAGGCAGAGGCAGGACTGGAACCGCACCCTGCGGCTGGGAGCCCTGAGCCTGCATGCCCATTATTTGTTTCTCCAGGGGCCACACAGTCTCTGTGTTCAGGGGATGTGTTTGGGGACAGCAAAGCTGCCTGGGATGAGGCTGGAAGTGACTTTACCCTCCACTTTTCTGAAGCCCAGTTTTCTAAAGCCCCATTGTTTGTGTAACTAGGAGAAGATAATTAGTTCAACTCCCAACAAAAATAATCCATCTCCCCTACACTGAGGTGGAAGGGTCTGGGCATATATACCTGTAGGCTGGTGAAATCTGTAAGAAGTGGACAGCAGGTGGCGCTGTCTCCTCGTGAGAAATAGCCAGTAGCAAAAAATCCCAGGGCAGTCTTGGTGCTTCTCCTGCAGTGTCCTGGGATCCCTATCCCTGCTGACATCACGATGAAGTGCAGTCTGCTAACGCCCCCCCTCCTGCCCCTTATCCATCTGCTGCCTTGCCCTCCTGAGGTTTACCCCTATGGCCCTCCTATTGCTACCTTCCTTCACACACAGGCCTGGTTCTCTGACCCAGCCTGATGACTGGAGCTCGTGTTGGGGGGTCCAGTGACAGCTCCGTCCTGCCAGGCCCCTGTCACACAGAAACGCAGAGACATCGTGTGCCTATCTAGAACTTGCTTTTCGGGACACATTCCCAAAGACAGACGACTTGTCCTTTTTCAGGGACATCTAAGAACCTGGCATTCTTCCACATGACCATGACCCGGACAGTCAGGGAACATGGGGCCCTAGTTTTAATAAGATGCTCAGAGAGGCTTAGCACATGGTCCTTCCCCAGATCACTGCTGTGTCACCATGAGGACACTCAACACCAGAGCTATGCTAGAATAATGTGGGCTAGGTCCCAGCTGTGTCCCCTGGCCAGGCAGCCAGCCTACTAAAGGCAGTGCAGGCACTATGATTGGGCTTAGTAGGGCTAGCTTTCAGCTCTGTTCAGACTACCTCGCCCAACTGATGCTTGGGTGGCCCAGGCCCAGTGACATCCCTTCAGGGGAGTCGCAAGAATCTTTCTTGTAGAAGAAACAGCTAAAGAACCCAACACCTGGCTCTGAACGTGTGTGTAATCCTGCCTTGCTAACCCCATCTCCCCATCTTACTCCACTGGCTACTTTGAACAAGTCTAATGGCAGGCATCCACAGCTGCTCGGTGTCTGTTGTTTCACATGGATTGCACTCCTCACTGGGCTGCCACAGCACACCAGAAATATAAGGGTGGGAGTAAAGATCTATGGCAAATAACATCCATCCTAAAAGTGAGGCACTGGGTACAATACTCAGAATGGAAAAAGAGTGGAGGGGAGAGGGAGGGAAAGAAGGAGACATCCACTCATCTCTACAAAAGGCCAGAGTCCAGTGACTGGCAATGGCCCCACCTGGGCTTGCAGGAAAGAATGCCCCTTCCTCTCCTTACCCAGAGAAACAGAATCAGGCAGCCACACCCTACTGCTGCCCACAGCTTCTCTGGTCTTGTATCAACTTCTGCTTGATGTTTATTTCCACTGTACCAAGGGGTTGAAGGAAGAAAGGGGAGCAGGCAGGAAGCCATCATGAAAATTGGAATGGTAGTTTCTGACTCCAAGAGGGAAGTCAGAGTCTCCAGTCTGACAGAACACTGGGAACCTGTAGCCTTCCTGGGAATGGAAAGCTGGGCAGGGTCTGGCAGCCTTTGTGTAGAGTGGAGTCCAGCCTGGGCTAGGTTGGGAACCTCTCTTCAGCATTGCCTCTCCACTGATGATGGGTTATCCAGAGAAACAGGTCGTGAGCTTTGGGGCGAGAAAGTCCAGGGTCTGAGCCCCAATGCCACACACACCCTGCCATTCTACCTCAGTACCTGTGCATCCTCTCTGAGTTTGGCTTCCATGCCTGAGGTACAGGGCAGGGGGGGCGCATGAGAGCCACCTAAGGGGTGTTGTGAGGGTGGTTGAGGTATCCCCTGTGGAGAGGGCTACCAGGATGCAAGTCTCCTGAATGCCTCCTGTTCCCTCCAGGAACCCAGTTTTCCCAAACTGCCACTGGAGCCAGGGCAGGCAGGAGAGGGCAGCAGAGATCATTCCCAGCCACCTGAGCAGGGTCTGCTGGGGCTGAGGACTCTGAAGAGGAGCTCACACTTCAGCCCGTTCTGGGACCCCTGTCCCAGAACTGTGGGGACCCCTGTCCGTTCCTCCTCTAGAGAACAACAGACTGTAAAAGAACCCTGATGTGATGGGTCACTCAAAGCCACCAGCAAAAGTGAAGTGACCCTTCTCCCCATCTGAGACCCTCAAGTGTCGGAACATTCTGGTAATCTGTGTGGGAGTCTCAGGCCCAAACCTACCTACAAACTGGGTACTCAGAAGAAGCTCCCAATAAGTGGCTCCTGGGAAGTGTGGCCTGGTACATGCATGTCATTGTCCCCCATCCCTACAGTGAGAAACACCAGGGGTCTGAAGGCTGCTACTCTCCTTTCTGGGTGCCAGGGAGTTGTGTGCCCTTCCACCTTAGCACTGTCCCATCTCACTAGAACATTGTCAGAAATCAAGAAAGCAAAGAGGGGTGACTTGGTTTGCACAATGCCAGGTGCCCCCCCCCCCCCGGCAAGGACACCGGGTCATTAGTTCCACTCCCTCCTAGGAATATTGTCACTGGTGGGCATCTGTCAGGCCCGGAGCCAGGCTTTGGTGCAGCACCAGCCCTTCCCTGCCCTGGGCCCTTCAGATGCAAAGAGAAAGGACACTAGTGTAGAGATCGCACCTCTTAAGTCCAGGCACCTGCAATCACAGCTCACACCCTGTTGTCCTCTATCCCCTAGGAGCTGAGGTCAGACTGGGCCTGGGTTCAGGGTCAGTAGGTTCTTGTTGTCTGGCCCTGGCGTTCCTCCCTACTAGGTCACTGGGACCTAGAGGAGGTTGTGGAGGGGACCATGCGATTCACTCACAGGGCCGAGCTTTGTGCCTTCCCGCGGCTCGTCCGTCTCTAGGCCATCTGCCTTAGGCGGCACACACACACTCAGGGCCTCTGCAAAGATGCTTAGAGATAACTAACTCACGGCTCAGTCTGCCCTAACGATTGTATGTGAGTAAGCACTCACATACAATTCCGTGCCACTCGGAGGCCCGTGTGTCAATTTAAGCCTGTGACTTGCACGTGCCCGAGTGCTTTCGTGGGCACAGTGGCATGCACGAACCTAAGCGAAAATTAGTCCGGGAGAAAGCCTGGCGCCTTCAAAGCGGCAGCGGGAAACCTCGGGCCGCGGCTAGGCTATCTTACCGGCCTTCTCAGCTTGCTTAGTCTGGCCCTCCTCTGGGGAAGGCTGGACTTTCCCTCTCACCCTCGGGCGAGCGGCAGATCAGGCGAAAGGCAGAGGCCAGGCCTCATCCCCCGGGCCCTGGCCAGTTCTGCGGGAGCGACTCTGGGTGTCTTCCACCCACCCATCTGGCCTTGATGTGGGGGGAGCTGGGAAATCCCACGAAACCCGCACAAGAGCCTGGTGATGAGCCGGAAGCTGGAGTCCGCCGCCATCACCGGGACACGGATCCTGGGCGCAGAAGCAGCTGCACTGGGGGCGGCCTCCGTGCTTCCTCCGTCCTCACTGGGGCGCAATCAGCCCTGGGGAGGGAGATGCCCCGGCTCTAGGTGTCCCGAGGGCTTTCCCCTGGACCTGCTTTCCGGATCCCCGAGTGGAGGTCTTAGCCTGTGTAAAACACAGCCTCCCCCTGGCTTCGAACCTGCTCCAGACCAAAGGCCCGCGAGAGCAGCGAGGCTGCAGCCCCCGCCGGATGCGGCAGACGCCCCAGCTCCGGCCTTTCCCTGTCCTCTTTATCTGGATTTTATAGACAGCTGTTAGTTTGGGACATTAATTGCTGGGACGAGTTTATTGATAATTTTGATGTAACAGAGCACCGGAGAAATTACCCTCCCGTCCAGAATGTCAAGTCTGAGAAGAAGCAGGTTCTGAGGCGCGACCCCACGGTGCACAGACACTGCGGTGGGTCAGGACCGCGGCACGAACAATGCGGCTTATTGTGTTTGTTTTCCTAGGTGGGCGGTTGGTGCTGGAGATGGTGGTCAGGGGAGTCCAGAGCTTAGCTGTTCGTTGTCTCCAGGAGAGGAGGGAAAATACGATTTAGAAGGGAAATATGTTAGGGGCGGGAGCATGGGTGTGGAGTCCTGGGCACCCAAGGACGGAAGGTCTCTTCCTGGCTGGGTTTTACAGGACTCCACGGGGAAGAGCATCAGGCAACTTTTTAAAAATAGACAAAACAAAACAAACAAACACAACTTTGAAGTTGCTTCATTATCTACAACAGAATGTAAGGCAGGTCAAGGCTTACTCTAGGTGGGGTAAACGGCACACCCGGTTCGGGGGTGGAAGGAAAAAAATACACGTAAATATATGTAGAGATTGTGTGATTTTGCACAGGGATGAAAGACTACCCTTTTTCTTTAAATGTTTGATTATTTCTTCAAACCAAGAAATGACATTTAGAGGGACAGAAGGCTCATCTTCAAAACCTAGAAGCGGTGTGGGGGGGGGAGTTACCCCTACCCAGATGTTACTCTGCTATGAAGAATGAAAAGAGGGCTAATGGGGGGGGAGTTGAGATTCTCCTAGATTTAATTTTGTCCAGAGAGCTGAAGCTCTTGGGGTGGATAATTATTTGGTCTATTACCCCAACAAAGTAGCCATTCGAGTTTATTTCTACCGACAAGCGTTTTAGAGGCCATGTACAAATGTTATACATTTTTATTTTTGTTCTTTTTGTAGGAAAAAAATACACAAAAAGCATACCCTCGGATTGTCCTCTTATACAGTGCAGAAGGAGGTTTAAAATATGTGTCACAGATACCGCACCTCTGCGGCCGAAATACTAAAAAGGGGGACAGTCCTTCATTTATATATATATTTATATAAAACATATGGAAATTTGTTTTTACACGGATTGGTCTTTGCTTCAAATTTACAATGGATATCAAATAAAAAAAAAAACAACTCTACACGGCAAATATTGCCAACCAAGTCACACCATTAATACTGGGAGGGTAGAGCTACGTGGTGTTTTGACCAGGAAAAGAAAGCAGAATAAATAACAGGCTGAGCCTGTCTATGGTGTCAGGGCGCCTGAACTACACCACCTGATCGAGCCTCCGTATCCCTGCAGCTTTCTGTGTTCATTTCCTTTCAGAGTTACAGAAGAGACTGGGAAGCAGAAAAATACCCTCTGAAGAAGTCAAAATGCAACTCCAAACAAAGTGAAAGGCGCTGGAGGAAGAAGATGGAAGGGTATGGAGGCTGGGGCAGCTTCTCAGCTCCTGTTGTCCTTTTTAAAAGACAAACAGTGGCTCCAGGTATCGGCGTCATTTCCATGAAGATCCACCTGTGACTGCTGGAGGAGACCCCAGGTTGGGAGAGGGGGTGCCGTGCCTGGTCCTTTCCTCCTCCTCCTCTCCAGGAGGGGAAAAAAATGGCTGAGGGGAGAACTGTGCATTTCAAGACATTCTTTCAAAAAGTTAAAAATTAAAAGATAAATATTCAATCAAAAATAAAAGCATTTGATAATGACTGGTCTCACATGTTCGTGATTCTAAAAATTGTCCCTTGGTGTGTGTGTGGGCGGGGGTGGAGAGACCTCGGCAGAATTCTTTCCATGTAGCTGGCTTCCCCCCCGACACAGTACCTTCATGGCTGCTTTCAATGGGGTTGAAAATAAGTATTTATTTACTTACAGCTGCAGTCTGATCTGGCCCCACGGCCACTGTTTTTTAGAAATTAGTGAGTGAGTGGGGGGTGGAGTCGCCGACCACAGCGCTAGGTCTGTGTTGGGGTTTTCTCTCCAAATAATCCGTTAGGGAAGGGGACAGGCCCTTTCCTCTTGCTGACGGTTATACCTCCAGAGTAAAGCAGTTTGTGGTGGTGGGCTCCTGGTCCCTGGGCCGGCCAGGCTGGGCTGGAGGGCCCATGGCCTCGGCTTCACATCACACATGGCTTGATGTCTTGGTAGGTGACCTGCTGATGGTAGTAGGACCCTCCACCAGTAGAGTGCATAGAGGAAGATGCCATGGCATTGAAAGAGAAGACAAACTCCTTTCTGTCACACATGCTGGGCGACTGTGAGTGATACCTAGGGATTCCTGTAGGGTGAGGTGACAGCAAGAGTGGGGAGCAAACATTAGCGTCTAAGGCGAGAGTTCAGAGCCCGGAAGCCTTGTGCTGAACAGGCACACCGCTGCCTGGCCCCAGCATTTTCTGGCACAACTGCCCACCCCACCCTGCAGAGTTCCCAGCCCCCAGTGGGGACGGAACTAGGGAAGGGTAATGGCCTCTCACTCTGCACCCATGACCCACACTAGAATACTGGCTAAAAGTCCTGCTTGGGGTAGCGCCAACTGCCGGGGCCTCTTCAGCCTGGACACTGTGCACAAAGAGGAAGCAGTTACAGCTTTTGATGCCCCAGAGCCTGGGAGACTGAGATTTCTGAAGTTGTCACTTCTACCCTGGTGAAGTGAGAGGCCTAATATTGGGTCAACCAGCTTTCAAAGCTTTGAGCGAGGTTCAGAGGTTCAATTAGCTTCAACTAGGAGCAGTCTCCCTGAAGGACAAGCAGTGCCCAGGATGAGTGGAAATGGGATTTTAACTTGGCATAAGCTGGGGGTGACCCCGTGGAGAGGTGGCCCACCATGTCCAGACTGGTGTTCTGCCTCCCAGGGGCTCTGACAGCCTATTTCTGGCCACCTTTCCACCCATTTCTCCTTCCAGAGTAGGCCCCAAAGGAGAAAGCTACCCATGAAGGGCTAAAGGGGAGCGTGCTGTTGGCTATCTTCTTTTTCAGTGGGGTGAGTCTGGGGTAAGCACCAAGGAACCTTGAAGATGGATCCCAAAAGACAAAGAGCACTGGGGCCTATAACTCAGATAGATCCCCAATTCCAGGTGTCACCACACAGTCCAGCTTCTGTCAGCACAAAATGCTTCTGGACTTACCAGGCCAGGTTTCCTGAAGAGCCTGGCTGAGCCTCCAAGTGTTGGGCCCAGGCCGCTTTGGGCCTAACTCTTGCTTTGGGCCTACCTCTTCAGCTCTTGCCTAACACAGACTCCTTGCACGGGGACGATCAGAAAGGTAGGCCTACACTGGACCCTGATTAGATACAGAGGGTCTTTGCTAAATGTGAAGGCACCCACATGCCCCAATGGACTTAAGAGTGCTGGGTTCTGAATCTTAGAGGTGAGAATGGGGCCTACCTGGTCAGGCTTGGGCAGCCAGCAAAGTGAAGCCAGAACAGAAACTGAACCAGCCTAAACCCGAAGGGTATCAAACTGCACTCACTCCTCAAAGAGAGAGGAGCAGTACCCAAAGGCACCCTTGTGGATTACTGTCTCCCCTCAGAGTTTGGGCTACCTTCTAGCAGCTGAACTGGTTCACAGGCTGTCAAGGGTCTGGGGTTGGGGACCCCTGCACTCACCTTGCAGTTCTGCTGGCCCGTTGTGACTGTTTTGGTGCAGGTATGGCTGGTCCAGGGAATGTGTGGAGAGGCTGCCAGACAGGGGGTTGGCCGCTGGGTTACAAGGGGACAGAGGCTGTTGCTTGATGTAGGAGGCCCCGCTGTTGAGAGCTGCGGAGGCCGAGGGCGGCCAAGCTGCTGCGGAGCTGGAGTAGACGGCATGCGGCTCCATGACCCCGCCGGCGCCGGCCGGCAGCAGCGGGGAAGCGGGCACTGAGCTGTCGTGGTGCGGGTATTCTCCGGCTCCAGAACCACCGCAGCCGCCCATATACGAGTGGCCGCCGTTGGAGGGCAGGTGTGGCACCGAGTGACTAGGCAAAGCCATGCCGTCCACGTTGCCAGCCAAGTGGCCATTCATCATGCCCAAGCCGCCCTCCAGCGCCAGGCTGTTGGGCGCGCATGAGAGGCCTCCGGAGCCCTGGAAACCATAGGTGTCGGGGAGATGGTTGAAGCCCAGCCCGTTCACCATACTGTACACAGGCTTAAGCGCTTGGCATTTCCTTCGGAAGCCGCGCGGCCGCCGGCGGAACGAGCCCTCCTCGAACATGAACTCGCTGGCTGGGTCGATGGTCCAGTAGTGGCCCTTGCCGGGCCGCCCGAGGCCCTTGGGCAGCTTGATGAAGCACTCGTTGAGCGACAGGTTGTGGCGCACGGAGTTCTTCCAGCCCTGGTAGGCGCCGCGGAAGAAGGGGAAGCGCGCCTGCAGGAACTGGTAGATCTCGCTGAGCGTCAGGCGCTTGCTGGGCGAGCTCTGGATGGCCATTACTATGAGAGCGATGTACGAATAGGGCGGCTTCTCCGGCCGCC